CAGCAAAGTAGACTTTTATTAATTGCAATTGCTTTCGATTGTCAATCATGATTATTATTGGTTGATCTCATTATTTTATGATTTGATGAGGAGAAAATAAATCAATGGATAAAACTGTGACAGTAAATAAAAATAAAAACAGCTGAAAACGATAAACTATGTACTACTAAATATTGGTAATGATATATAAATATTAATTCATGTGATGCTGTATAATCAAATAAATTAGAACAATTATTTTTATTATTTGGATGTAATATTTGGCACATCAGGCCATTTATTTATTTCCGTCAATGAGTTTTTTTGTCTAGTAAAATAAAGGCTGTTATTTTTAAAGTCCAGACTTAAATCCAATTCAGAGTATTCATAAAGACTTTAAAATTGCTGATCACAGAAGTTCTGACTTGGTTTATGTTGTGTTGCAAAGGAGAATGGCCAAACTTTATGGATACACGTATCTGGTGGTGGATACATACCTTAAAAGGTTGGCAGGAATAAAGCATCAAAATGTGTTCCTTTTACATATAGACTCAAGGCAGCTACAAACAAACACACACCAAATTTTGTCAGTTTTATTTGTAACTAGTTTAAACTAGTATATATCCTTTTTGTTCCAGCTCATAATTATGCTCTACTTTGTGTTGGGCTACCACATAAAATCCCAATTAAAGTTGATCTGCAGTGTGACAAAATGTGAAAAGGTTATGTAGAAATGAAAACTACTGTAAGGTGCTGTTTAACCAAAGAGGCTGAATGTTGAATGCTGCATTGCACTTTCAGTTTCTCTGTTTGTTTTTCAAGGTCTTTATGTCTGATACTCATGTGGAATACAACAAGTCCTTCAGCTTATTGCAACGACTAAAAACACGAGAAGAAGCAACACATTAGACAGTAAATTAATATGTAATTACTGCATGTATCTGGTTGTTCATAATGAAAGTGGCTTCCAGTGGAAAAGCACCAGATATATGATGAGATGTATGTCCTTGATGGAAAGAAGATAAAAACTTGAGCAAAGTGTGAATAGTGCACACTGTAGCCTGGAAAAAAAAAGAATGCTTTATTCTAGTGATTAGTTGGCGATAATTGTAGTCAGTAAATGTTTTGCTGTATTTCTTGTCAGATCTAACAGCAATTATTTAAATACTGATGTGTCCTTGATTTGCAAATTATAAAAGATAACATAGTAACTTCAAACTGCATTGTTGTGTTGTGAGATTCTCTGTGGAGTAGGACAGTAATAATCTGTTTTTGACAAATATACTGTCCATGACAGGTGTTCAGGTAAAGCTTCCTGATTAAATCATTTAGCTAGCTTGTACAGCTTCATAAGTGTAGGTTGAGTTTGGTAGAGTGGTTGACTCTTAGAATGAATCCACAACTGGCATATTGAAATAAGCTGTTATGATACAATTACCGAAGAAAACTAATACATATTTACTGTTTGTGCAAACCACTGACCATTGACTTGAACATGTAGAGTAGTAAGATCTTACTGACAACCTAAAAGACTAAAACACTTAGTAATTGCAGTATTTTTCCACATTTTCAATCTACCTCCTTTGAATTGTTCTGCTATGTGAGACAGTTTTTTTGGGGGTTTTTTCTAGAGTCTATGATTTACAGAGAGGAGTTTCTTTACTTGTGCGTTCAGTCATTGAGCCTTTTCTTAGCATTATGCTTGACAGGTAAATTGTTGCCACTGCAACTTTCCCTCTCGTCAAAGTAAGAATCAGACTAAAAGCAATAAGTCTGGCTTCAAACCTCACCAGTGGAAGTACTGCTATTTTTCTGGTTGATGTTGAATTTGCGGTTATCATGTGACAATCCTAAAATTTAGTTTTGAATGATGTTCAAAAGTTTAAGAGCTGTTCATCTAATTTCTAATTTATCAAGCTTTATTGAAATAAATGGACAAAAGCATGAAGTTTTTCTTTAACAGTTAAAAGCAGACATGATAAAATTCACAAAATATGTTCTGTCAGTCATTTTCTTTCTACAATTTCTGTGTCCTCAGAATATTTCAGAACATGAGGTGATGTGAGGGCAGAGAGGATGAAAGATTCTTCACTTAATTAAAGAAATCCATCCTTTTTTTGTATTTTTTTTTTTTTTTTTTTTACTTTTGGTGCCATTACTGTCAGCTTGTTACCATCTGTTGCACATCCTCTAATGTTGTACTGTCCAAGTGCACCACTAAAACTATGGTACAGAAAAAGTCTTATTGTGTCTAGTCATGTTAGCTCTATGTTAAGGTCATAATTTCTGAAGAAACAGTGCATTCCCAATTGGCAGAGGGTCATACAGAATGTGAAGTATAGTGCAAATTTACCTGCGCATATGTGGTTATTTTTGCGCACAGAGTAATTGGTTTATTTGGGCATCATCTTGTCCCTACTCACTGCAGTAAGAGCCAGAGGCTAGCTCAGGGGCTGGGGGCTGTCTGGAGTCAGAACAAATCAAAGCACCTGTCTCATAGCCAGGATTACACATAAACCCTGTGTCATTCAAAGCGATGAGGCTAATAACACAGACAGGTAACACAGGCTCACTTCAACGTGAGTCAGTCTGAACAGTGTGGCTGCTCGACCCAAACACTAAAGAGGTACTTCCCCTGCCGAGGAAGAAAAGAACCGTGAGCCTTGACTGACAGGGTTTATCATAAGTTACAAATGTTTCAGCAGCTTTGGGACAAAAACTTGACTGGGACATATTATTGCATTTTCCAAGACTTGTTTAATTATTCATTGCCCTTTGGCACAAATAAAGTAATCAGCTAATGAGCAAAAAAAAAAAAAAAAAAAAAAACGCCCCCCCGGGGTCAAACTTTCCTCATAACACACACCTGTACTTCAGGATTTACTGACGGTCTAATCAGATATTGTAACTGTATGATTAGATCACCCCAGTCTGACAGTGCAGTGAAAAGTTAAGTTTACTTTACTGTCTTTTCTTGTTGGTTTAGTTTTTGCACAATGATGAAATTAAACAACTTTAGTTGTTTTAACTTAGAACCTCAGTACAAAGTGATATTGTTTTTTCCTTAAAAAGTCAGATTGTCTCTGACTTTTTAAGGAAATTCAGTCAACTTGATTTTTTGAAAATATGCTACAGGTTGCTCTTGGACATTCGTAAGTACAGCTGGACATCAGAAGAATTTGTAGTTAAAATGACATGGTTGTGCTAAAAGAAAAATCCTCGCAAAGCATATTATCTGGACAGATAAAAATGAAAGTGATTCCAAATATAGCAGCTGGCTGGACTTGTGCTTATTCACTAATTCACGGCCCTCTGTCAGTGTGGATGAGCAAGCTGGACCTTTGTAAAGTTGAAAATGGACTGAACAGCTTCCAAACTTGCTGCCACTGACTGTCGAATACTTCTGTACAAGTGCTGATTCAGAAACACGTTTGCTGTCCACTGGGTCACAGCTTTCTTCCCCCGATTTAAATAAATGATTTACTGTATGTGAAGAGCAAGTCTTTGAGCTGGGTTTAAAAACTGCTAAGACTCAAGTATTTATGAGTCATGAAGGAATCATGGAGGATGCCTTCGTGTCATCCTGACTTGCAAAGGTGTCTAAGGTTGTGTTGAATCCGTTTTTGGCAGTCCTGGCAACAAAATATTGATTTCCACATATTTTTTGAAAAGCTAAAGTTGTTATATTTCAGTTACTTTCTGTATAAAGAATTAAGAATGATATGAAGAACTAACTTTTTTTGCATGACATCTTTAGCGTACTTATTTTAATTATGAATTAATTAGAAAAAAGGACGTCAAAATGTAAACTAAGAACAGAAAACCTCGTTCCGGTCAAGTGGATGTGATAAAATTGTTTCAGACTATCAGTGTTTCACAGGAAACAGATGCGACGTCAAGGCAACCCTCCTGTGAGTCTTCTTCTCTTAGTTTTTTTTTCCTTTAAAAGGACGATGATACTTCAGAGTTGACTTTCACACATGCATCTGTGAATGTGTGAAATAACACAGCTCCTTCTTTCACTTTTTTATGCACATATCCTGCACAGTTACAAGTCAGCTTTTTGACCTCAGAGAAAAAATAAATCGGTTACCTTAAAACTCAGGCTGCTTATTACTTCACAACAACAACAACAACAACAACAAAAAAAAAGCAAATGCAAAACCTTGGAATTGCAGATAGCCATTATTCTCCAAGATGCATTGAACATTTTATTTGTTTTCATCATAAGTGGAAATGAAGCTATAGAGAAGCAGACAGCTTGAGACAACCTGAGTGTTCAGTCCTGTCCATCATCTAACATGTCACCATTTAGCTGCAGCACCACAGCCTCTGTCCCTCCTCTGCCAGCTCTGAACAACAATAGTAACTAATTGCTATAGTCCTTACCTTTCTGATCAACACAAGGTATTCTCTCTTGCTTCCAATGATACAACAAGAATTTAAATGAGCCAATTAGTGTGTGTATTTCCCCCAGTGTGTCAAGTTCACCAAGTGTTTGATTGAGATTCTGCAGCGCAGCAGTACAGCAAAAAAGTTGAGCTGCCCTGTGGGCCTCTGGGACCAATAACGATGTGCATCACGCTGTGAATTCATTTATAGCTGTGTTGTTCAGAGTATTTATTGTAGCACATTGTTGGTTCTTCACAAATGTATTGCTCTTGTAGTTTTTTTTTTTTTTTCGTTTTGTTCTGTTTGTTACAAATAAAAAGCATTTATTCAAGAGTATACCAAAAATCAGCCAGATGCTTTAAAGCGAAAACACTTTGAGGTAAATTAATTACTTACTTTTCTATCTTCTGTCTTTGGTTTTTTTCTTGTCTTTTTGTTCTTTTACAAATAAAAAGTTGAGTATTTTATTTTGTCATTGCCATTAAAAAGTGCTTTGATCTGAATTTGAATACACATTCCCCTGCCTGCAACGTGAGATCATAAATACAGAGTGAAAATTGTTCACCTCGTCTTAATAGTTGTTTATTTTTAACCATTTTTCTTATGCTGTCTTTCTTTTTCACTGTCAGTTATTGCAAGGAAAGACCATCCCTAAGCTGGGGTCACTGGACCAGATTGAAACAGGAAGTGGAGATTCAGAAGGACATTACAGCGGTGACTGTGATGATGAGGATGGATGTGCCGGGTCAGGGGGCGGCGAGGTTAACAGAAAAGTCTCCAAAAGTAAGTAACTATTATGAGATATTGGTAATAAATCTCTAGTTAATGTGTTTGTCTTAAGGCAAATACATGTAGTCTGAATAAATTAGCAGACACATCTCAAACTTATATTAGTAATATCAATGAGCTTACAAAGCACAACGTATCAAAATAATCGTATCATATATATATATGATAAATAACCAACAATAATATATATATATATATATATATATATATATATATATTATTGTTGGTTATTTAATGTCACCTTCATTTCAATTGGCAAGATTTTACAAAGTTTTTCTCTTTATCAGTGAAGAAAGCTAAAGATGCAGTTACATATTCTTTTGAATAAGACTGGCTCCAGTCTCGTTTTATGACAGCCTTTAATAATAGTCATTAAAGATAATAGTTGCTATGGGGACATTATTGCAATCAAGGCCTGTAACTCGAAAAATTATTGCTCCTCAGCGGTTCAGCAACCTTCAGTGAATCACACTGGCAGAGCTCTCCTCTCCATTTTGTTACCTTTTGCACTTTTCTTTTAGCACTTATAGATTTTCCCTCTTCTCGCTCCTCTGCTCTCCATCAGACATGCTAACAACCTGATTAATTACCTTTCTCGCTTTGCCTATGGCGACTCAAAGGAAGCCGGGGTCATCCAAACTCACCATTCTACCCATGAAAATGTTTCCACTGCTGCTTGTCGGCCTGACTCTAGGCTAGCCGCTTAAGTTCAGGAAAGCTGCTTAACGATCACTCATCTGAAGCTGTCGGGAGGCTCTGACATTTATCACCCATTACAGCTGAGCCGCCCTTTCCTTGTCACAGGCCAGATCAGGCTGCCTCCTATATTTATAACCCGCTGTCTGCTGTGACCTCTGTTGAACATCGGTCCCCTGGTGCCTGACCCTCAAAACAACAGGGAGGGACTTCTTCTCAGTCCCTGCAGGATTTAGTGGCAACTACTGTAACGAAATATACATTTATTTATTTATTTATTTTTTTTGTTTTATTATCAGTGTTTAGTTGTTGGACAATGTCCATTTTATTGTTCATGATTTGAATAGTTTTCATCTGCTTTTTTACGGCTTATTTTATGCGACGCTGTATGCATTTTTAAAGCCGTGTTTCCATCAGTGTTTTTTTTATGCTCATTTCGAAGTGTCACATCAGAAATTGTTGATGGAAATGGCAAAATACAAAATAACTTTTTCAAGTCTGCAGAAGAGCTTTCCGAGAAAGAGTTAATGTGTGTAAAGGGACATGGACACACATTTGCCAAATGAGTTCTGGCATGGTGAACTTTTCCATCCATTGGTGGGTCTGTACATTACTAGAGGCACGAATTTCCAAGTTCAAACCTTCAGAATGGAGGGGAGGACTCTGTCCATATTTCTGAGATGTGCTTCTTGTTTATTGCAGCCGTGCGTAGCTTAAAAAAATATGCTGGTTGATCTGATCAGTGTTTAATACAGCTTAAAATGTTGTGATATTCAAAATGTACTTTTAATCTTATAAATCAGCCTAATTTACAAAAAATGACTCTATGAACCAGCAAAACTTAATTAAGTTCCAAATACTAGGAGTCAACTGAGTTGCCTATTTTTGCACGTTATTTCATGCATTGAAATATTTAATTTTGCTTGCTGTCAGTGACACGACTTTGGATTTTTATGAAGTTACCAAAGCTTCCTTGGGAAACACAGTTGCTTAATTGGCTACCTTGAGGTTAAAACACTGTGGTGAAGATGCAGCTTTAATGACTGCTGTTAGTATTTTTCAGTGAACGTGCTGTAACTTCAAAACAGAACACCTCAGAGACAAAAACCCAGAATCCAGAATAAGAGGCAGACACAAGAAAAACTATGCATTTTGCATCAAAGCCACTGTATTAATAAATTTTAGCCAACAAAAAGAACTGGACTGAAAATAGTCCTGTGAAAACAGATGATCAAACAATTAACTATGACTAATTAAATAACAAGGACAGTCTGAGAGATGAGACGTGTAAAAAAAATATTCTGTGGTGGTTTCCAAACAGGTTTGAACAACATTTATAAAGTGAAGGATATGTTTTATGGAGGACATATAAAATGCATCACAAGCTTACAAGTCAGTCAAAGCAGATTACCTGCGGTGATAGTGCTATTTTGCTATTTCATGATCAGATTCAAAGCCTAAAGACCATGTATAATTTAATTGGATTTCTTTGTCTGCTATAATTCATAATCTCTCTCTCATTTGTGTCTTTGATATTTATCTGCAGAACATGCAGATGATAGATCAGTGTGATAAAGAATTTAAATGAGATGAGCTCAATACTGACAATACGAGCTTGATTTAAAGGATTATCTTTATTAAGCAGAATTATTGTTGCACAGAATTGTTACATATGCATGTGATCGATGCAACAAAATGAGCTGTGTGTGCTTCTGAGATTTTCCTTGGATATTAAATATTTATTTATTGAAGCAAAGCAGCTTCTATGGTATTGTTTTCCATTCTCAGCATTTCAGTCCAAACAGGGTTTTTTTTTTTCTTCAGTGATTGGTAACTGAAACAATTAATTATTTTTCGAGAAATTCAGAGAAACACTTGAAAGCACAGAGAGAAACCAGAAGATTGATTCACATCATCAGGCTCATTACGGTGGTGCACGGACTCCTCACAGCTCAGTGGGTGACATTGACACGGAAAACACAAATCCAAAGGGAAAATCAATTCAGCATGAATCGAGGTTCATCGCATAAGAAGGCTTGTTCTTATGCATCAGTGAATTCTGGGAAAAGGGTTCTAAGTAGAAATGATGAGACAATTAATAGCTATTTTACATTATATTTAATGCCAATTAAACAGTTAAACAACTTGGTAAATTAGTAAAACAAAATACCACAATCATATGTTCATACATTGATGTCCAGTTTTAGTTCTTAATTGCTACGTAAGAACACAGTGTCTCTTATGGCTCAAAGCAGCTGTACCTTTATTAACATCGAATGGCATTTTGGTGGGCTGAGGCAAATTTATGTCTTCACTCTAAATTTTGAAGTCTCATTTGTGGTAATTCCACAAAAAGCTTTTGAGACAATTAAGCTAGAAGTGCAAATGTAAAACTAATGAATGTAATTAAAAGAGCTGGGACATCCAAACTTATTTTCCTCTGAAATAATGTGACAGCGAATAAATGGTTGACCACACATGCTTTATGACTCTAATTGCATTTTGCCCCAAGCTCAAACTTGCTTGAAAATAAAGCAGTCCAGTTAAGTTGCTGCTTTGTTTAAATACCGCTAGCTATTATTATCTCTTCTCAACAAAAATACTGACAGCTTTCAGTCCCCATTTGACTTTAATTTGTAAATGATACATGTGTTCATTTATTTAAATGTTTAATGACGTAAATATATCTGAGCCTCAGAACAAAATCATATTATTCTTGCAGGAATTGAAAAGCAAAACCATTAAAATCAAACTATTAGTAATAGCTAATGTGTTGTTTTTCCGTACCCCGTGATGTGATAAATACAAACAAAGCCTTTTGCAGATTTAGATAGTCAAGAATGCTCAGAATCATGTTTTTTTTTTTTTTTTTTTTTTTTTCTAATTTGTTATATCCCTCTGTGTCGTTTTCCACTTTCCACAAAATTTCTGGTCTGCGTTAATGATCTGTGAATAATGTTTCACCCATTGTCTGCTGTTCAATAGCTACAGGAAGGGTTGGTTGTCGTGCGTAATGAGGATGAGTGGCACCGTATTCCCTGCTGCTAAAGCTGCTGCTTTTGGTCTTATTTACATTTCTCTTTCATATCGTCCTACCCTGAGGGAAAACTTATGCAATGCTATGGAGGAGTTGAAAAAATGGCCTTATAAAATGGGTTAAAACAAAAGTGTAAAACTGTTATATCACTTAATGAATCAAATTGTTTAATTTCTTTCCAAAACCATTTGTGCTAATGAATAAATGGATGAGTTGGCTTGTTGCCAGTGCACATTTTTAAAGCCAGGACTTTTAATGACATTATGAGGATTAGTATAAATGGCACACCTGTCCATAACATGTGCACCTTCACTGCTAAAATGAAGGTGCACAGTTAATCCAAAATTACTCTACATAACTTTGGAGTAAGAGAAATGCTAATAGGGTTGCGGTACGGGCATACCAAAGCTTAATGTTAGCGTGGGTCAAACCACTTACAGCTGGACATAGAGAGGTTAGGAATTACTTCTTTGTGTACAATATTTGTCTGACTTTTTCCAACATAACAGTACTTCAGGCAATGAAACATGTTCCAATCATTATTCTTACAACTCCTCTGCTTAGCAGCTGCTGCAGTTTTCTCAGGATTGAAACGGTTTACTTTACTTCTCTAAAGGTACCCAATGCTCCTTGTTATGGTTACTGGTCAGCTTAGGCTTTGTCTTGGTTGATTGCAAAACTTTTCCAGGAAGGTTTTTTTTTGTTGTTTGTGGTTAAGTGCAAATTGTTCTTGATCTTCAAGTCGCAAATTTTGCAGTGTGCTCCTCTTTCTCACCCCACGTTGAATCTAAGCTCACTTCACTGTGTTGCTCTTGAACATCCTAATACATTTTATTTTATTTAATAAAATTTCATTCAGATGCTTGAAAGGTAGACACAATTGGGTGTTGGAAAAAAAAAAAGAAAAAAAAATATATATATAAAAGATCTCAGCAAACAGGCTGATTTTTAATGAAAACATTAGGGAACATCGAGCTTTAAGAATAAACTTCCCAAAGTCCTAACTACAATACTGTAAGCAGATGTCAAGAATATGCTTAAGCTTTTGAAAACCTGTTTGAAATAAAAAAAAAAAAATCAAATCAAATCGAGTGCCAGGTCCATGCCAAAAAAAAACAAAAAAAAACACACATTTAAAATTCTGCCTAAAAGTGCATGGAGACCTTTTCTTGCAACAGTACATTTGAGGAACTTTCCTTAAATCAAGTTAATATAATTTGCAAACCTGTTTCCACAACCTTTTGTACAAAGGGTTGTTGAT